CGGTCAGAGGTATGGACAGCTGTCTTCCTTTCGTTTTTTTGGTTGTTTGTTCGCCCTGTTGGTTTTAAAGGGAATCTGTCCACCTCTTGGAACTTCTATTTTTCCATGGGACGTGGGCAAATGATATAATGGGGCGAGCTCTAAATTCTCAGGGGAGCCCAAGTTGTCCCATGTCCTTGGGCGGAAGTAAAGGGACATTTTGACCGCGTGGCTCTGGGTAGGGAGACTCCTGTTCCGTCTTTTATCCGATTGCCTTTTGCGATCCCGTATTTCCCTTACCAGCTTTCGAATCTTGGATTTTGTTCAGGCTCAAGATCCCTTTTTTTCAGGTTCAGGTTGAAACCAAGAACACCTGGAGCCTGAAACCACCCTTGACACATGGGGGCTGCGGGGGAGGGAGGGGAGGGGGAGGAGCCCAAAACAAGCCGTTAAGCCCTGAAATGAGGCCTTATTTAGGGCTTATTTGGCCTCCCTCCCCCTCCCTTCCTCCCCTCCCTCCCCCAGCCCCCACCTGGGATGTTGCCACCCCAAAGACTCTGGCGTCGAGGCGTCGGAGAGGCGCAACGGTGCCTGGCCGGAGGCGACTTCCGCCTGTCTGCTCGAGACCCGTCTGCGAAGGTCTTCTTCTTTTTTTTCTGGAGCCCTGAAAGCTGCCCCGGAGCTTTGGGCAGAGACCCCAAAATTTGGTTGGCTGGAAAATGTATACTGTGTTGGACAACATAAGAGTCAAGGCAGGAACGGGGATGTTCAGTGAACAGATCGCAAGGAAAAAGCGGAGATCCCTTTACAGTGAGGGATTTGTTGGGCCCCTTGAGAATGGCTCTCAGACCTAGCCCAGATGAACTCCTGCATCCTGAAGACTTGGAAACAAAGGCGATCACGTTGATGCATGGACCCACGGGAAATCAAAAGTTTGAAAGATCGCTTTGCTTGGGACAAGCGCGCCTTCACTCGTCAAAGCTTGGAGGCACTGCGGTGTCCTGTTGGAATAGATCATCCTACTGAATAAGAGGCCAAGCTGAAAACAGAGGAGTCATGTTGTCTCTACTGTAGAATCGTAGAAAAAGCTGAAACCAACAGTCGGAAACGATATCCAGATATGCATGGGAATGCCCGAAACAACTGCAGGGTCTAGGTGGTTTGTGCATCGAAGGGTTTGCTGCTTTGTTTCTCCCATGGGGGGGGGGGGGCGGGGCGTTCAGCCTGATGAGTGCCATTCTTGTAATTGCAAGGGGTAAGCTCCTCTGCGGAATTGATCTGATCAATAGTCGCGGCATACGTCAGGCTGGCACGAATGGGAGCCCTGAGAAAACTAGATCCTACCTGAGGCGATCGGCCAAGCAAGTCAACCCAGGGAAAGAAGAGTCGCAAGGGGTTGATCGATATATCCAGTAGCCACAGCCTGCCCCTGAAGTTGATCAATGGGCTGTTGATTCACCCAGGTTCACCAAAGCCTTTGGCTTAAAGTCCCATAGGAAACCCAGAAAGGTGTCATGAGATTCCCATGACACGATCTGCAGTGCACTGGTTGCATCTATGGAACCCTCAAATGGGATCATCAAGGGTTTGGTTCCCTAAAGTTGTCACATAACAGGAACAACTCAAATTTTGTTGGCACAAGAGTTAAACTTCAGACTGCAGAGGCCAACTTTGAAACAAGCAAGAGTTTACATGCGTCAAACATGGGACTTCGGACGACATGAGTTGAAGTTCGGGAAGAAGAGTTGCTTTGGAAAAATACATGCTATATTAATTATGCTGCCAATCTGACGGACGAGTCACATTTAAAGAAACTTTGAGCCAATAGAAAGACAACAATAGTATCATTTAACGAACACAAGAGTTACGTTTGAAGTCAAAAAGGGTCAAATTAGCAAGAGGAAGAGTTGCGTCATTTCCAGGCTCCGTTTTGTTTGTCGCATGATCTCATGGCTCCACTCTCCTAGGCAACAGATGCCTTCCCAAATACACCTCTAGCGGCGAATTTAGCGGTATGGACTGCCTTGGAGATTCTTTGCCAGGCGCTTCATTTACTTCAGGACCTTGGTCTGCACCTCAGGGCCAATACGCCATAAACAACCTCCAGCGCTTGCGTTGGCTGGGGTCATCATCAACCCCTGGGGAATGTAGACTGCCACTGCAAAGATTCGTAATCGACCAGGGCACACATGGGCGTATTCGGCCAGGGCACATATGGGCCCAGCGCCCGTTTGAAGATGCAGGGGTTCTCCGATCCGAGCCTTTGAGATACGACACGCACCACATCGCACCACTAGAGAATAGGTATTGCCAGACTTGACTCACCCGTTTGCCATTCTGGTTTGCTTTATTTTCCCTGGCCGGATTTTGCCCCGAGCCCAGGCATAACCCTCTAATTGGTTTCCTTGGGTTTTTTCCCTTGCCCTTTGCTCCAAATGTGTTTCATGTGGAGTTCCCTCTCAAACGGTCGGAACATAAATCCAGTTTCCGCGTTTCGTGATGTCCGCCAAAGGCCAAGGTTCTGGCAGCTGCAAAGTGAGGCGATTCTGGTCGTTCGTAGTGCTAAATGCGTATTCCAATGCTCTGAATGAGCCGGTGAGCTGTTTCCTTGCTGATGTATTTGGTACACAAATCTGCGCTGTTGTGAAGTGTGTTGATCTTGAGCGGGTCACAAGTGGGACTGTTGCATGAATTTCAATAATGGAGCCCCTAGAAAGCGGCCGGTGGACAGAACAGAAAAGCATACCTAAATGATGTCCCCCAAAGGGCCCTAATTAAGATCCATGGCCTGCCGTGAAACCCGTCATTTTCGAATTGAAGGTAGTCCTCGTTTTGGGGACGCAATGGCTCCCGTTCTGGACCATGAGGGAAGGCTCCCGATTTCCGCAACTGTATTGCCTGTTGTGCCGCCAGACATCTGAATGGGAGACTCATACACAAGGGGTTGCTTGATGGCTTGAGGGTCCGGGATGAGCAGGAGTTGGATGGCCATTTCACCCGCCCATCCAACAAGCCCTGTCCACGGGCCATTGTTGGGAACGAGGCTGCAATGCCCAGCAACCGGACCTGGGGCAAATGCACGCAGCGCCCTTGGAATACCCAACCAAAACGGATCAGGTACAGGATTGGACGGGCAGAACCTGCTTCAATCAGGATCTGTTTGTGTTTGTGGTCCAATCTTTCTTTGGCGCCAACGCAAAAGATTGAATGGAGTTTAACAGCAGGCTTGGTAGGAAAGGGTCCCAAGCCACAGGCCCACATCTTTCAAGGAGAACCTCGGTCCACCGACCTTTGACCCATGTCGGCCCACTAGTCAAGGTTCCAAAGGTCGACCTTTTATTTTCAGGTCAAACCTGGCAAGTCAGGAACCAATTGGATGCTGTTCCAAGCGTTTAAACATGTTCCTAGAAGATCAACCTCTAAGGGACCTGCATGGGTCCAAGATCCATGGGTGGGACCCCTTGTATAGTCTTTGAAGCGAACATCAACCAGTCGACGTCCTTATGACCCTTAACTGGCGAGAGACTCCGGGTATCCTTCAATGGGAGATTGCCGGGTGCAACGGCGATCTCCTGGAAACCCGGTGACTCCATTTCAAGCCAGGCTTCAGCAAAACGGCCACTGTGGCTACCCCTTCGGATCAGAGTCACATCTTGGCTCGCGACGAGAAGGGGCAACTCTTCCAGAGTTTCGAGGCCAGGTCTTCCTGATTTTACTGAAAGAAGCGAGTTCCCTACGGGCAAATGCAGCACATCACAACGTAACAAACAGTTTTTCTGGCAAATATGGGCCAAATGCGGAATTGGAAAAAACAAAAAAACGGCAGCGCCATTTTGGCGCGGCCCCTCAAACTACCCTTTAAAAGGGCCATTGCCCTTGCGGGGTGTTTTTTGCCTTTTAAAGGAAGTTTGAGGGGCCTGCTCGAGCGAACCCCCGGAAAGAATTCAACGAACTGAGCTCACTGACCACCTGGGCCCCGTCTCAGAGGCCGCTGCCAACGCCTGCCAACGGAAGTCTCGCTGGGCTGGGTGCCTCAATAGGCCGATGGCTGGGAGAGGAGGAGCTTAGCGGCTGGGAGGCGAGATGGTGGAACATTTTTTGTATGCATACATAATTATGTATAATATATATATATATATATTCATTTATTTATTTATTTTCCCGTTTTCGGTCACACTGGCGTTGTTGGTAAGACACTGGCCTTGGCCAATGGGTCCGACCCCCTGTGGCCACCTTTTGCTGGAATGAAGGGAAGCCGCTTTGCGAAGCCCTCAACATATTCACTTCAAGGGTCCCGGTTGACCAAAGGGTTGGTCTCACGTGCCTTCAAAACCCCAAAAAGGGTGCCGGGAAAAGGGAAGTCGCCTAGTGTTTGGGGCAAGCTGGGAGTCGTTCAGAGAGCAGATGAGGAGGAATTGGATGGCCATAGCGAGCAAATGCGCCCAGGTTCCTTTTGAGAGGCCCTGAAGCCACCGGTTAGGGGCCCTCAAATGTGAGATCAGAACGTTGCTCGTGGAAACACTCCTACTGTTTCCGGGAAGGGAGCCATGGGAGCCATGGGAGCCATGCAGCCATGGGCCTCACTTCAGGGTTCAAAAGTCGAAGCTGCTACAATGGCAACGGGTCAACGTGCCATCCACTTCGTGGCAACGGGGGAAGCTGCACCTCCGTGCACCCCCTTGCTCCAAGCTACATTGCTTTTATTTAAACCAAACGGGGGGCGTCCGCCAGCTTTGTTTCGATTCGAGGAAATGGCTCTCCAGCTGTCCCCGCAGCTCTCGCGAATTGCAACGTGGCCAAAGAACTTTGGGAGGTGATTTGTGTTGTGTAAATATGGCTGCGGGTCAAAAATAGGGTAACCCCAAAATGAAACCCTGATAAATGGAAACAAGGACTAAAACCTGCGGTCCCCTGGTGGATTATTTTTGACGTTGCTTGTTTTTGCTAACGGCGCCCGCACCGGACACGTGGTTTTTGGTGCACTGCACACATGCACACCCGCTCAGCACTGCACACATGCCTGCCAAATGATAAGCACACCCGCTCAAGGGCACCCGCCCAGCACTGCACACACGCCTGCCAAATGATAAGCGCACCCGCTCAAGAGCACCCGCTGAGCACTGCACACATGCCTGCCAAATGATAAGCACACCCGCTCAAGAGCACCCACTCAGCACTGCACACATGCCGCATGCCTGCCAAATGATAAGCGCAGCCGCTCAAGAGCACCCGCTGAGCACTGCACACATGCCTGCCAAATGATAAGCACACCCGCTCAAGAGCACCCACTCAGCACTGCACACACGCCGCATGCCTGCCAAATGATAATCACACCCGCTCAAGGGCATCTGCTCAGCACTGCACACATGCCTGCCAAATGGTAAGCTTTAGCAGCATGTCGCTGTCACGAAACTGAAAAACAGGAGGGCGAATTCTGCATACGAGAATGCTTGCCTGAATCACACTGTAAACGACATGAAGCGGACTTGGAAGCAGCGCATTTTTGAATTCACTTGTTATGGTGACCTCACACATAAAACGCGCGCCCAGCAGCGCAACCATCAGATTGCGCGGGTCCGTCGCGGGCGCCGTTACCTTGTTTTTGGGGCCAAAACCTGGTTGCGTCGAGGACAATTCCAAGCAAAAAGCAGGTTGAGGCGTTCCTCTATTTTTCTTACATGACTTTAGACTCATTAAAAGCTATAAGAAGTGTCCTTGGCGTTTCGTGGAAAGATTCCGCTGGTTTCACTTTGGCCCACACTTATGTTTCCAAGTTGTTACCCTGAAACATGGGAATCTTGCTCCGTGTATTGAGTCAGATTCCATTTTCCCGGGTCCCTTTAGCTTTTGGTTTCATTGGTGTTGGTCCAAGAGCAACGCTCTATATTCGCTATCATTTGCTTTAGCAAAGGGGAAGAGGGGAGACGAGGGCTACTTACCAAGTCCCCATGTCCAGGGGGGCCACAACACATATGGGTCGTGGCTCCCATGTTTACAAGGCAAAAGGCCATCGCCTTTCAGTGCTTCAGGTGAAGGGGCTCCTGTGAGCGACGCGAGAGGCGAAAAAACTCCAAGGATTAGCAGCTCGCTCTAGGGGGGCCGAAAGGCAACGCTTTCGAGGGCATGTTGGTGCATAATCTCGTTTGGATGGGTGGTTTGGAGGTATTCCACGCGTGGTTTCCCGTGCACCCTCTACAAGATGTTCCACTTCATTTTTTCGGGAATTCATTTCAGGCACACACACACACACACCCCCGCCCGAAGGTAAGGGTCTGTTGGCGAGCGGTCCCAACCCAAACAAGCATTGCTTGTGCTTGGGCATCCCCGATGGACCCCATGTGGGTCCGTCCTTTCAAGGTGATACTCTTCCGGGTTTTGAGCTTTTTTCGGGGTCCCATATTTTTTCCGTCAAACGTGGCAGTCTCCTGGCATCCAATTGCTTGACGTGGGTTCCCTTGGGTCGACTCAGATTTCCCGAAGCTTAGCGCACCCATTTCTCACGTAATGAGCGGGTTTCGATCGCTTGTGCCCAATCATGCGTGTAGCGGCCAACAGGAGCCCATATCAAACCTATTGAATGGGCCATCAAAAAGGGGAAGTGGGTTCAGGTCTAACTTGGGGGTTGCTCGGGGACCCTCAAAGACCCCGAGCTTTCCTGCTGTGACCCCGTCACAAGCCAGGAGCCTAGACTGGCCTTGCTTAGGACAATGCAACCAATACATGTGTGCGTGTGTGTTTTCTCAAAGGGGAACCCAGGGTGTTTCCTTCTGGTTTCCCTTTAGCAAACAGGGCTCCGCCATTTTGAGAAAGAGAACCCCCCAAGTGATGCCACGGTAGGATGCAAGTTGGATGTTTGAGACTCTTAACTGCGGTGCTCTAGTGTTTTGCACTTTTGGTGAAACAACTCTTGGGGTTGGCACATCATGTTCATCAACCCATGACTAGGGATAACTCTCTTTTGTAGAGGGTAGAGATTATTATCAACCCGGAAACGACCATTCTAAGCTGGCCGGAAAAGGTTATCTACGCAAAACGGATCGCAAACGGATCGCAGATGGGTGTGTCTTTTTTGAGGGTATATACCCCTTTTTGGATGCAGATTTTAACAAGGAAACAACAAAATCTTTGTGGGGATTCTAGGAAAGACACCTCCAAATGGTTCCAGCGAAACGGTTTCGATGGATCGACCAACTCGTTGCATTTGGCTTCCAGCGCCGGTCCGAACAGCTTGAACCTTGAGCTGGATGGATTGGAGCCAGGCTGCGGTTGCATCTCATTGGGGCCCCGGAGTCTTATCGAAACCCAGCAAGATGCCATCCGTTTTGGGGAAAGGGTTCCATGTTCAGAGTAATCCCCAAAGGAGTGAAGGGAACAGTGAGGCCGTTTCTGGCGCATGTGTGGTATTGTTGGGACTGGAAAGGCTTTCTCACAGTCCAGTGCCGCCCGAATTGGCAGGCTCTTGAGACCTGCGCAAATCAAGAGGCGGGACGGGTTACGTTAGATAGACAGAAACTCAAGGGAAGTGTCGGCAGTTGGGTTGGCCTTTGTTCGGTTTGTGCCTTCATGCCAAATTCTGCCGACACGGTTTCCCAAAATGTGGTTGGCATTTGTTCATAACTGAACCCCCCCCCCCCTCCCGACTTTCCATGCTTCACACCGGAGGGAACCAGACCTCGTGTTCGAAAAGGCCAGCATTGCATCGCAGGATTTCTGGCGGTTCGCCGGGATTTCCTTATTGCCCAGGTAGACTGATGCAAGGGCCTGGGGCCTGGTTGCGAATCATTGCGAGTCTTTGGGGCAGTTGTCAAGAATTGGGTCCCTTTTGGGACATGTTTGAACCTATTTCCTTGTCAGGTTGTGCTGATGAAAATGGGGGCCAAAGCGTCCAGAAGTTTGACCGTTCTGCTGCATGGGTGTGTCCTTTTTTTTGAGGGTAACTTATGTTGGTGTTGCTTTAAAGGGAACCTGAAGGAAACAATCATTTTGGGGGGTCCAACCTTAAAAAAACAAGACACGCGCATGACGCTTTTCCTTGGCTATACCAACAGTAACTGGATCCACCCGCCTGCGTCCCAGGCTGGGCCGGTTTGCGCATTCCGACGACGACTCGCCGGGACCGCCTCAGCGCCTTGGCCGATGTGATGTTCAAACCGGCCTCGGGTGTGTATTCACCTGGCCCCAGAAGGATCTGTTGGATTTCGTTTCTTTTTTTCCATTCGTGCTACGAAAGGTGATCGACCTTTTGTTCGCGGCTTGGAGCAATCCAGCATTGGACCTTTGAATAGGGCTTGCCGCATGGCTCACCCAGAAAGAAGCGATGCCCTAAATGGAATTCCGGTACCGAGCCTATTTGGCTGTGGGTCAAAACCGATGGCATTCTACCCTATTTTAGTGAGGACTGGGATGTTCACTGGGGGTACGGGATTTTGACCCATGGCCATTTGTTTGTTTCTGTGTTTACAAAGTCAGAACTCGTGGCATTTACCGGGGTCGCCTCCAAAGCTATTTTGCATAGGGTAGAGCAACTATCAAACATACATTTAACACATGTTCTGTGTGCCCTTTTTTGTGGGCCAAAGCCTACTTTGGGCAGGGCGCTTTCCAGCCACCGGGTTTTCTGCCAGGATCCCTCTGAGATTCAGAGCATCAACCTCTGGTTCAAAGAAAGCAGGAACATCTACTGGAATTTAGCCCAGTGTTGGGTATTTGGGTGTTTGGTATATACATACACATATACATATATACAGATTGAAAATAACTTCGAGAATTTCAGTATGTCGTGCTGTCTTAGATCTGCGGATGTTTCTTCGGGCGCTTTTGATTCGCTTCGATTTTGCAGGTCTGGGACTGCCCTGATCACTGATCATGCCATGTACCAGCGAGTGCCTACAAACGAGTTCTTCGACGCAGCCCCAGAGTGCCTTGGCAAAGGGCTTGTAAGCTTCGGTAGAAGTGTTTATGGCAAATTTGGCACGGACACAGAATGAGATTCCCACACAAACGGGCCTAAGGTTTAAGGTTTGTTTTTGCCGAGTCCATTTGCGGAACACGTCCTTGGAAAGTGCCCAAAGAATGCCAAAGGAGCTCAACACGTGGAATCCACAGTTGGGCATCCAACACGTTGGGGCATCCACCACGTTGGCGTTGCATCAAGGGCTGTGATGTCAAAGGGGCTGGGGGAAGTCACCCGTTGTGAGGGGTTCTTTTGTTGAGAACAAGCCATTTGCTTTGAAGACAAGACAGGGCTTGAACGCAAATGTGTTGCAAAGAGGGACACCATGAGCTTGGATTGACAATATTTATCACTTTGGGTTTGGGGAGGACAAGGACACCAAGGGGGACGGCCGCAATTTGTCCGTGCTTTTCTCCTGGGGAAGCTCCGGGGGCTCATGTGTTCAATGGCATGTTGTTGTGCCTTCCATGAAAACTGCTAAATCTTCCAGCAGGAGTGTGACATGCAGAACAACCCTAGGATCAAGAAGCACACGCATGGGCCACACCTTCATTTGTTCGGCCTGCTTGCGAATCGAACACTACAACATTGTTTGCGGTCTCGGGAACTCAACAGGGATTCAGGTCTCCTTGGACCCTCTGGGAGTGTTTCTCCGCAGAGTTGGCAACGGGAACCCAGGGTGAACAATACCCTGGTTGATGAATGCAAGAGTGGGCCATTTTGGAAGGGACCTGGATCACTTTTGGAACCCCTAATCTGCAAGGTTCTTGGGTGCTTCAGGCGAATTATCCTGTCTATCTAGTTGGATCGGACATGTGTGACCCAAGCATTTCAACTTGTTTTGTTTCCTGGGACGGAACCAAAAGGAGCTTCCCGTGTCAAGGAAGTTCATCATTTTAGGGTTCCCCTAGACCCCTCCCATGTGCTGGGTAACTTGGGCCCTACACCCAATAGAACCACAACACCCACACAACCATGTGTTTCTTTTTTGAGGGTACCCTTTTTAGGGTTGGTGTAAAGGGTGGGGCCAAAGACAAACTGCAGGCCTCAAATTTCACCCGGCCTATGGTTTCCATCGGTTTCCTGAACACAGAAGCAACAACACCCCGAAGAAGGTTCCAGCCCCTGTGTTTTCCTGTGGTTTCCTATGGTTTCCTATGGTTGGTGTGCTTCGGTTTCCTACGGTTTCCTGGAATGATGATTCCCCTATAAACAGCAACACACCATGGTTTCAACCATGGTTTCAAAGTGGTGACGGATTTTGCCCACAGCATGGTTTCCCAAAACGAGAACCCCCAGCCCTATTCCCTTCGGGGGCCCAGCCCCATGCTGAGGCCTCGGTGCTGCAGCACGCGCGGCGTGACGTTCAACTTCCTGGTCGGGGTGGTGGTCTGTGCCCCCGGCGATTGCATCGAGTTCACGTCAAAAGGTCCGGGTCAGGAACTCGGTTCCTTGAGTTGAACAAAACGGCGTCCCGTTCAACTCGCACCCGTTTCAAGAACCCTGATGCATTCCTGATATATATATATATATTCTCTCTGTCTCTCTCTCTCTCTCTCTCTCTCTCTCTCTTTTTGAGTGGCATTTTCATGGCACACCACCAGTAGATTGCAACCTTGTGTAGACATCCAGTGACCCCTTATCGAGTGAGTCGGCTTGAAACCAACCAAAAACTGTTTCTCGTTCCAACAACCCAAAACAATTGGTGGTTTCCCGTAACAGAAAGCCGGTTGCAGTTTCTTCTTCAAACAATGTGTGTTGGTTCCCCCATGTCGAGTGTCCTGTTTCAAGAGTATGTTTTTGGAAGTCTCCATGACCCTCTTTAAAATTGTGTCACTACCCCAACATGATATTCCACTGCCATTCCAGGCACCCTTGTTGGTTTCATGTTGACGGGAACACACGTGCGGCAAAACTTGGGGACAAAAATCCATTTGGGGGGAATCTTGGGGACAATGTCCTTGTTGTTCGTGTTTTCATTTGAAAAAATGGGGGGTAGTTTGAGGCTCTGCATTCCGGCACCCGACTTTTTGCCAGGTGCCAACGCCCTCCTTCTGGGCATTGAGGCGGACTTGGGCCTCCTCGGCCCTGCAGGGCCCAAGTGGACAGGCCGCTTCGAACGACCGGCGCAGCCAGGGGTCCAATGAGCAGCGCCCAAAACCGCTGCCCATTCAGCATTTTAGAACTGAAAGGGTTGGCTTCCCAATTTGGTTTCCCTTTGGTTGCCCTTGAACAAACACATCCCACAACTGCAACATGGGGGTGGTTTCCAATTGAACTGTCGAGCACAATCCCAAAAAGGGTACCAAGCATCAAACAAGAGTACCGGATCCGTATTGAAGTCTTCATGACCCTTGACAATTGGGGCAACGTGTCCCATAATTTTGCATACCTCCCAGGCCCCATATTGAAACGATCACGGAGACTCCAGGTCCCTTTCTCTGGGTCCACGAAAGTGACACCTTCCAAGTCACCCTCCAAATGGTGATTCAAACGACTGCAACCCCAACAGCAACTTCGAGAACGGGTCCCTCAACATCGCCGTCAGGCTTCGAGACCGATGTGCTGAGCATGCATGCGGTGGGCAATGAGTTGGAGAAGGGCATTGAGTCTGAGATCAAGTCCGGCATAAAAGCTGACCGGATCATCAAGGCGCGGTGACTCGGTCGCCGATCAGCAAGTGAGATCCTGATCCGCAGGGACCCCAAACCCCATCTCCCTCGTTTTGTACGTCTTATCCTCGAAATTTAGCGGAAATCCGCCCATAAAGAAAGAACCTACGAAAATCAAGGGGTTTGGTGGGTTTGCCTGGATAGACCGTGAACGTAGATGCGTCAATGCCACATCGGTTTAGACATCCCCTTTACCTGCCCACATGGCATGAATGAAATTAGGTCCTCTGACTCCAGCTGGTGGTTTGGATGGGTTTGGAGGTGCCCGATTGGCCCTGCACACAGCCAGGGGTTCAAATTTGCGCACCACCAATCCAAGCCAAGCAATGGTCACCTGAACAAGCCACAACCCATAGAAAACCAAGAGCCATGGGGGGTTAGAACCTTTTCGTGCTGTTTTTTCACGGCAACGATCAGAAACTCTAGGAAACCCAAAAGAAGCCACAGGAAACCAAAGGAAACCACAAGAAAATGTAGGAAACTGAAGGAAACCACGGGAAAATGTAGGAAATGAGGCATGAATTCAACGTTTCTTCCACTGCAAGCGTTTTTGTACGGGCGAGCCTCTGCATCTGGTCCCAGGATGACCTCCGGTATAAGGTGAACGCCTGGGGCTCAGATTTGGACTTTCTCGGCCTCAAGACATCCCTGGTCCCCACGCCACCCGCCTGGAAAAGAAAGAAAGAAGGAGAGCCCTCTACGAAATGTCCGGTTCTTTGGGATTCTATGTTTTGTTCTGGGGGGCAAATGCCGGGGCAATCTCCCCATTTGTAGGTGTGGTTGCGGGTTCCAAGTCCTGAGACGGCCGCGAAGGATTGAAGCGATGGCTTTTCCAAGGAGACGATTCACAAAGATATCGCCTTCAACAGCGAGTTGGCCTTACCGTCTGGGGGGCAGCTCAAGCCAGGATCTTATCCCTGGAAGTGCGGGTCGTGTCTTGTGCCGTGTTTTCAGGAGGCCTTTGTGTGGATTTGTTTAAAGGGAAACCACCAGGCAAACATGGCTTCCATTTTTCTTTTTTGTCAGGTTACCCCTTTTGAGATTTTGAGTCAGTGTGATCAACGGCGTTTCCAGTTTCATTCGGGTGGTCAACCTCTTCCAAACAGTTCCAGATGTTTCAGCCGACTTCCGAAGACACAGGCCGGATTGTTCTCCCTGGTTCATTTTCAGAGGGGATCCTGCTTGCCCAAACCCCACCATGTTTTTTGACCAAACAGGTCGAGGGTCCAAACAATTACAAGACAACCTGGTTTGATTCAACAGATGGAGTATGATCTTGCAAAGCGAAAAATGATAAACGACACATGTTTGGAAGCAAGAAACAGCTTGATGGATGCCTTTCATGGACAGCTTCTCGCCTATGGATTGTTGCTGTTGCTTTGCTTATGAAATACATGGATTCGGGTCTGTTCTCTCTCAGATACGCCGCCTACACTGTCTGCGAGTACTTCTTTGTGCTTTTCTATTTGCGTGGAAGCTCAGGATGCACGCTCAAATCTGGGCCCCGACATGATTTGGCTTTGCCTCAAAATAGCGGACTCTCAAAATTGGTGCCCTCATGAAGGCGCACACCAATTTGTTTTCTTTTGGCTTCCCTTTCAAATGGCAAACAACAGGGCCTCCGAATTCCCAACCCCGGCAACACTGCGTACCTCTAAACGTAAGGCATGGGCAAAGGTGACAGGTGTTGTTCCTCAAGTTGAACCCGTCCATTGAGTCGTGCAAATGGATGCGTTTTGCAGATGTTCAACCTCCAGTGCCTGGAATGAGAAGGCCAGTGGGGTGACATGTAAAACTCAACACCCTTTCTGAGCGAGCAAACTGCAAGTCCAAGGGTCGCAGTTAGCATGTGAGACAAATGAGGGAACTTTCAAGGAAAACATGCCCTTCTTTGGCCTCCCTTCAAAGCAAGCAGGCAACCATCCGCCTGTTAAAGCAGTGTTGAAGTAGGGGGGACAGTCCCCTTTGGGTGTTCCCTTTAAGACAAGCACACCCTGGTTTCCACGGGGCCCCATGAGCCGCCTTCTTTGCTTCCTGCACCCAAACCAAAAATTGGGCATGGCTCAAAATGATGGGCAGAATTCCCATTTTTGATTGTACCAGGCACGCCTTGGGCATCAGTTTCTCAGCTCTGGTTTATTTAAAGAGAAATCAAAAGGAAATCAGCTATTTTTGGGAACCAATTCCTATTTTGCAAAAAAGGGGGTGTCATATGAGCTGGCTCAGTTTTTGAGGGAACAACGGGAACCATTCTGAACCATTTGGACTTGGGGTTGCGGTTTTTTGAGGGTTGTACCAATTTGGGTTGGTTAAGGAAAAAGACTTGAACCCGAGCCTGTTTTTTCCTTTTTTCTCTTTTTGTTTTGCGGGGGGGGGGGGAAGGAAACGGGGGACGGCATTAGAGTGAAGCCGCTTCGGGAAAAAAAAGCGAAAGAAATGGGAAAGTTGAGACGAGGCTCGAGATGTTCCTCAGAATGTGCGACCTTGGATGTCGCAACTACTGTTGTGCTGGCCTCAGCTTGGCCGGCAGGGAGCTGTGATGTGCCGTTCGGAGCTGCCGGGAGTTTTGTCAGGCTATGGTAGTCAGCCTGAAATAAGCAGACCCAACCGATGAAGGGAACTTATTATGCTTGGAACGCTACCAGTTTGATTCTCTTATTCAGAAATTTGGTGAGCGTGTCTCAGAGTTTGGAGCCGCGTGTTTTGTTAATCCCCTCGAATCCCTCCAAAAAGAGTCTCCCTACTCTAGGACGGACGCATCGCATAGATCTGCAATCATCGCATAGATCTGCAATCGGATAACCTGAGTGGCACGAGCAGCCTTGTGTTGCTCGCTGCCATCATGTTTGGGAGACCCCCTTTTGATTGGTTTGGAAGGCAGACCAAAAGGAAACTCCAGGTGTCTACTTTTATAGGACGCTAGCCACCAGGTATTTACATGGCAAATCACTGTGTTCTCCAAACATGCCATATCCCAAGCAGAAGCTCCGATAGAAGACGCAAAGGGTTGAATGTTGAATGGGTTCATTAGGTTTACTGCCAGTTTCCCAAAACCACGCATTTATTTATTTATCTGTTGGGGGGGGGGGGCGTCCCCGACGTGTCACACACGCATTTGGCGAGGTTGGTGGGCCAGTCCTGGCCTTTGGGATATTGTTTCAGGTCGCCCGGTTTTCTGGAAGGTTGGCGATACCACCACTCGCTTGAACAACGGGAATCAGCTACCCTCTTGGTATTGGATTGGATTCGAACCCCTGGTTGCAGAGGGATTGCTTGGATTTGAGGGATGGGAAACCCGAGGCTCACCTCCAAACCGAGCTTACCACGGGAAGCCGAGGCAAGTACGCCTGGATGCCTCTGGATCTGGCAGCCACCCGGACTCTGGGCTCGCTCGGCATTTGGGTGTGTGTTTTTTTTTGTTTATGTTGGTAGCCGTATTTTTGTGGTTTCAAAGGAAACCAACAGGAAACCACATTCTCGACCAATATGAAACAGAATCTCAGTATTTGTGTGCCCCAGATGCGTTCCAAGGCATTGCTGCCTGGTCATATTACGAGCTTGTAGCTTTGTGCGTTACATCACCATTTTGGGAAACAGGCCTTTGGGGCCCAGTCTAGTAGCCGGGACTCCTTGTTTTCAAAGTGCCAAACACCAGGGAAGCTTGCATGCTTTCGAGTCCATAGCGGAGGTTGGCCGGAACATGATGTTTGATGGGCAAACTAGGGGGACGGGTGGACCTAACTGGGGTGTCCAAAGCTTTATTATTATTATCATCATTATTATTATTATCATGATGATGATTTGTATTGTCATTATCATGATTGTTGTTGTTTTTGTGTTTTTATTATCATAATAATTATTATTATTATTATCATGATGATGATTTGTATTATCATTATCATTATTTTTGATTTATCATGATTGGTATTTTGATTATTATCATTATTATTGATTTTATTATTATTCATATGTTCATTATTATTAAGATCCATCATTCAGGGTACCCAGAGTCTCCACGACCCGGACGTAGGATGGGTGCATAGCCCATTGATTTGAGGACGTTTTGGCAGAATGTGCGGGTTTCTTGAGTTGGGCGGGTCCGAAAAGGAGCTGGAAGATGGGGCCCGACATGACTTCAAGCAATCAAGCCCTGTCCGTTTCCGTCAAAGAGAGAAAACAAAGAGGTCATTTGAACAGCAGAAATAGGGGTGTAAGCTTAAAAACATGCTTCCAAAAGTCAATGGGTGTTTGCTAATTGGGTGTGTCTCTAGACACGGAAGCGCCATATTGGGTGGCCTGTGTTTGATTTCCCTTGAAACCCACCCCGGGGTATCCTCCAAAAAAGGACAGAATAGAAGGGCCGAATTGACTAGCTACATTATTAGTTGAATAGTTGTTTACTGTTAAACATATGACTAAATGTGGTTTAGCACACACCCTGAACCCAGCCCCAACGAGGGTACTAAACCGAAACCCGACATACCCAATCAGAGTTCCACTTTTTCAGTAGACTTAAACCCAGGGGCGTCCCTTTGGGGAAAATCAACCACTGGGTTTAAGTCTATCTTGGGGTAGAGAAAAGGTGGAACCCTGTACCGAATTCACCAGGTGGTCACCACGGGCTTGCTGGACTTGAGCCTGCCGTTCTTCTTGGAAGACGACCTAGAGCGCATGTCCGCGGCACCCTGAGACTTCGTCGTTTTTTTTCTCCGCAAACCTGGACCAAGGGACCCCTGCATCATGGTTGTCATTGGGAAACATTTTACATGTTTGCTTATTGTGGTTTAGTGGAAAATCCGCACTGAACTGCTAAAATTTAAATTTGTGCTTCCCTTCCCACGTTAACCAAGGTCTTTTGAGCCCAGCAAAGTAGGCAGGAGCAGTTTCAGGAAACCTCGCAGGGTTCAAGAAGCCCAGTTTCCATGTTTGAGGAGTCTAACCCCTTCGGTAGAAAACATTTAGCGATAAAGACAAGTTGCCCTAAAATAAGCAAAGAATTGAGTTCCCCCAAGCCATGAGGCAAAGGGCCTGAAGGGGTCCATGTAGATTCCTTGAGCCTTTCACCCATAGCAGGTGGTGGTAACACTCATGATTGTGGCTCAAAACCAACCGTTTTGGGCTTCCCTGATCTGGTGCACTTTTAGCAAAGGTCCCAAAAGGTCAATGATTCATTTTTGTAAGTCCTTTGGGAAAGTGAGATGGAGATCGGTTTAGTGCAACTTGTTGACTACTTTGCTATCAAAGAAACGCGCCTGTCGAGCTTGAAAACTACCTGAGTCCAACAAAGGGACTAGCAGCACCTGTGGATGACCTCGTGCGCCGGCAGTGCAGGGTCAGCATTCACGCGCGGCGAACACAACAAGCGCCAACAGCATTGTGACCTTTAGCGATGGACAAGCCATCGCTGACGCAGACGGAATGCAACTTTGCGGCGCAAGAGCCCGCGTGATGAGGAAGCCGTCCAAGGTCGAAGAAAGACTCCGCTGTACTATGTGGGATCACGAGCATCCAGTCAAAGGTATGCGTCAACGTACGGGGACCCCGAAAGTAGTGGTGTTCTTGCTGCTTTCCCTTTGAGCCATTCCTAGGAGCCGGGGATAAGCCTCAATCAAGTCTTTATTAAGGGTTTAATAAGGCCCCCGTCCCTAGCCTTTCTTGGAGGTCGATGTTTTTTTTTTGCCATGTTAACACCAGCGGCCAGTTTTATGGCGAGCTCACTGGGCAAACCGCGATGTGTGTAGATTGTATACTTGGGGATCCCTTATTTCAGGTGTCGGAATTAAAGGTCGAGCGCTCAGAGACCCAGATTCGTTGGTTCGTCGTGGAATTGATTCTCCAATAGAAAGTAAGTAAATGGGGGTTCCCACCTCCCACCCCCCAAGCTCCAAGCTCCAAAGCACCAAACCACCCATCCAAGCTGAAGGTTTTGATGACTCAGGTGCTGCCCTTCCTGCGCTTGCTGCGAGTGCTGCGACTGCTGAAGCTCTTTCAGATCTGCCCGGCTCCCAGAAGGCTGAAGCCTCTGGTTTCCCGAGGAGAAACAAAAAGCAACCTGGGTGCAACACATAAACTTTCTGCTGGGTTTTTCAGGGGCCCTAAGCCAGTTTAAACATCACTGTTGGACCAGGTGTAGCTGAGTTGCCTCTTGGTGGGGTGGTGTTTAAGGCTTCCGGGGGGGGGGGGGAGAACTGGGGGGGGGGGGAGCAACTATAGGGAACCTTTTTTTGTTTAAGCCAATCAAAGACGAAAAAGGGCGTGAACAAACCGTTGCTTTGTTCGCTTACCCAAATCGGCCTGGAGTCTCCGAGTCCTACGAGCACTGGGAGAAACGTTTCACCTACCGACGGTTTGTCCATCCACCATATGCTTTCCCAAACAAACCTCATATCTTATGATTAAGTCGGTCGAAGTCGGTTCGATCGGATATGGTTCTTCAGGAAACCGCCTTAACATATTAGGGAGAGACACCAATGGCAGCGGCCTCCTGTTGGACTCTACGGCTTGCCCTGGACATGACCATGCCATCAGACGCGGCATTCGTTCTGGAAGTGATCCTAACAAACATGTCCCGTCAAAGAGATATCATCATACAATATGGTTGTAATCAGTACCCCTCCAAAATGTCACTTGCACATGGGTTCCTACTTGAACAGTTCCTCTTTGCGGGGCCCCTGTACAAGTTCTATTTTTTGGGGGGAGGGTAAATGAACATCGGGCCCATTTGGGAACCATGGCCAGAGCCCAGCCACTCGTTTAGATATGTTTAAACCACTGGTGTAGGCAACCTCCGGTTGAGCCAACCGGTTCTTCACTGTTTTTGGCAAGTTGTTTGCTTTTGAGGTTCTTGCTGCTGTATATTTTTAAGTAGGGGGCTGCCAAAGAACAACGGTTTTTGCTACCATACCAAGGGTTGTGAAGGGTTGTCGATTTTTGTTCGAAGCACTGTTGTGAAACCGACCTCCTTGCCTCCTGGTTGCTCTAAAAAAGGCGACCAGGGCCGTGCTTCAATCTAAGAGGATTTCAACTGCCCCCAAACCACTTCCCCCAAGGAAACATGGGGTATACAGCCGCTGTATGACCTCATTGCCTCTCGGGTAGTGGTTTGGGGGCAGTGAAAACCATCTTGGATTGAACATTGTGACTACCGCATGCGGGCTATGTATCCATGCAATGTTGGACTCAACCAAAGTGTTGCCCTCCCCCTGCCCCCCTCACACACACACACACGAACACAGAACAAACAAACAAAAGGAAGCTGTACCCTCAACAAAAACAGACGCAAACGCGCACACACACACACACACACACATACACATACACATACACATACACATACACATACACACACACACACACCCACGCACGCACGCACGCACGCACGCGCACGCGCACGCGCACGCACACGCACACGCACACGCACGCACACACACACACACACACACACACACACACACACACACACACACACACACACACACACACACACACACACACACACACACACACACACACACACACACACACACACACACACACACACACACACGCACACACGCACACACGCACACACGCACACACGCACACACGCACACACGCACACACGCACACACGCACACACGCACACACGCACACACGCACACACGCACACACGCACACACGCACACACGCACACACGCACACACGCACATACGCACATACGCACATACGCACATACGCACATACGCACATACGCACATACGCACATACGCACATACGCACATACGCACATACGCACATACACACACACACACACATGAGTGTGTGTGTGTGTGATTGTTTTTGAGGGTAACCTACTTTAGGGAAACCCAAAGGGAAGCCAATATTATTGGCGGTCCCTATGTTAAGACACACACACACATACACATACACACAGACAGAGACACGCATGTTTTTGGAACCAAGCCTTGCCATCCATGTGCTTCAGGCCAACCCTTGCGGATCATCGGGCGAGGGGTGGTGAAGGCCTTTGCGGTGGTGGTGTTGGTGGGTATGGCGCCTTGGTTCTGATTGAGAGCCCATGCTCAGCCCTACTCCAAATACCTGCGTATTTGTTCATGGTATATTGCGCGAACAAAAGCGCGCGTTTTCCACAGCAAATACTCCTTTTCCATCCTGCCCTTTAAAGAAGTAGTATTGAAGGGGGAGTTTCCTCCCTAAGGCCGGGCTAAGGCTGTTCCTGCACCCTCAAACAGCCTTAAAGAGAGATCCTCCCGCAACTTGTGGAGCAATGCTCAATTGTTGAAGGTTGCTTCGGGGTCCAGCATTGTATATACACCCTGGGATTACGCCCGATGATTTCGGTCAGTTTTGAGATTTCAATGCCCTTCCTTCAAAAGCATGGGTGGGGCGAAGGGAAGGGGTACTAGGGGATCAGGGGATGTGCCTTGTATCAACATGAGGGACAAGAGGAGTTCCTAGGTTACAACAGTGGGCTTTCCTTGGCCGTGATGGGTATGGAGCCCAAGGAAGCGGCCGGAAGTGTTGATTCGTGCGGTCACGATTCTGTTGGCTTCCAACATAGGGTGCCACATACCTTTCAATGGGTGCCACCTATGGCCACGTGTCAAGACTTGGGGACTTCAGAGCCATGGCAGACATGAGAGGGCTTTGGCCCACAGTCATCAGTCATCAGTCGCTGAGCTACGATGACTGCCCTTGCCATGGCCTTAAATCGGGTGATTAGATGTCTTATGGTTGTCAAGGAACCCTGAATAGGATCCCACCCCCCCCAAACCCAAGAGGCTACTAGCGAGACTAAGAAGGCGCAGCGGCTAACAGGATTCCTTTGAGCCATGTTTGGGGGAGTCCCCCTGACATCCATGGAATGGCAGATTTCCTGTGATCAGGGCTGTGCTCCGGTTCCCCAAAATGGGCTGTGGCCCTTCAAAATCAATGCAGGGGTTAATTCATGTCGGCCTGAACCCTGAAACGTCCCAAAATGTCGGGTGGTTTTCCATAACACCATATATCCTCACAAATCGGTTCATCAGATTGGCTGTTTGGGAAGCCCCCAAAATCCTGTTTGGCATTTTGTGGCAATGTGGCAACTGACAACTGAGGTGGTGCTGGTGCTGAACTTCGGGCTGTCAGTCATCCTGACAACGCTGGTTGGACAGAGGCCTTTGTTCAGCGTCCGGGAACGAATTGGTGCAGAACGACCGAGTCCGAGTGTTGGGTATGAACCGGTTTCGGGGATTCCCGTAAAGGAAACCAGAAAAATGGTTTGTAGGGGTCGTTCCCTCATTCCCTGCTGGGAACCAGGTAATTGGTGATCTGGATAGATGGTTTGAAGATTAGGGTGTGACTTCCCATTTTTCTTTACACGAACCAGGTTCAAGTCCCCAAACCAACCTCGGGCAAGTGAAGGTTAGCATAGCTAGGGACAGTCCTGATTATAAATAGGTGCAGATATCCGCCCTTTTGATTCCCTTCTATGGGCTTTGGGTCATGACGTATAGTGACTGGGATAATTGACCCCACAATACCGACTGTCTATTAGTGCAATGCCTCAGTCTGCTTTATTGGACACATCTGTGTCCTACCAGCTCTTCGAATGCCAAACTGGTCTCCTCCTTAAAAGGTCACAAGAACGGGGCAGAAAGCCAACGCCTCTAGACAACTCCCAACTTGCGTGTCTTTGCAAGGCGCGGGGGTGCTGCAACTACGACCCTCAACTGACCCTTGAAATGGAAGGTCTCCTGGCGCTTCTGTGATACTGGAAGGCCTTCCAAATCACAAATCCAAGAAACGAAGGTTCCCAACCCTTCGTTCCCACCCACAATGAGCACCTGCCTATCTCCTGCAAAGGTTGAGTGAGTGATTTGGTTTCACAGGGTCATTTCGGACTCCATGAATGAATTGTTTTTTTGGGGAGTAGACCAAATAGGGAACACAATCAAAATTAATTATTCTCTCTGTACAGATGTGTACAGATGTGTGCAAGTTGTGTTTGTTGCCAGCGAATGTGTTGAGAGCTGGAGTTCTGGGTTGGTGTGGGTTGGTTCTGTGTGTCAGTTCTTAGCATGTCTGGCTGGAGTCTACATCCAATTAAATTGTGTTCATGGAGTGGTGCACGGAGAATGGGAACGCAAGGAACCTACTTTCCGAGGGTCATGGAGACTCAAGCTAGACGTTCCCAGTTTTGACACATCCGACCCGCCTCCTCTTTCGACTACAACACCCAACAAGTTGGAGGATTGAGGGTCCCGGTATGGGTTCACCAACCTAAGCTCCACCACGGATCGTGAGGTGATTTCCCCTGTTGTTCTCAAGGGACTACGCCTTGAAACCTGCAAAACTTGCATGATTTCCCCGAAAATTTTAAGAGGCACCTACCTTTGCCTTCACGCCTTGGAACACACATATATATATATATATATACATATGACTGTCCTTCAACACGACCCACAAACCAACAAAATCGAGGGTCAAACTGCACTTTCCGATGGCCAGGTCGATGCTGTGGGCGGATGAGACCACCGAAGACATCGCCACGTGGTTCGGGTCCATCGGGCGGTCCATGCAGACCTTGTTCACCATCCAGCCGCCCGGCCGACAAATAGATTGGTTGGTCTTTGGGTGCCGTTTTCACCTTGGTTTACAGGGGAAAAGGAAACCCGCCCTTTTGGGATAAATGCTGTTTGGACACAAAACCAAATAGATGGTTACCTGGTTTTCTGGCGGCCGAGGACCAGACAAGCCATTTTTTGCCATGTTGCCAAATGTCAATGGCACTGCTCACTGCAACAAATGTTCGGTTGCGCAAACGGAAGGTGGATCCAACCGCACCCGGTACCTGGTCTTGTGCGTGTGTGTTCGTTCGGCAAATTTATGCCCCCTTAAACAACCCTCAAACGTGGGGCCTGGCTGAAATGATGGGGTGAGTTGTTCTTCTTTACGGGTGCTTTTAAGGTCCAATTCCTTCTCGGTTTTTGTTTGAAATATGTCGCCCTTAGATTTATTTGTTTTGTTTAAAACAAAGTCAACTTACTCTCCCTGCGTGTTTTTTGGTTCAGACGGCTGACTCGGTTCCCGCTCACCAGATTTGGCGTTCCCGCCAACCCGGAAAAGGGCAAACCTTAAATAACACGCGCACACACACAAACACGCCATTGGCAGACTTAGCTTGCCCTTCCCACTTTCGCCCTTTCAAGTTTCCTTCACTTTTCCTTTTCAGCCAAAAAGTTCTCGCTTTTTGTGTCCCGGTCGATCCGTCTGGCTCAGAAAGCACCCACGCATTCCGTGGGCTTTTGGGTTGAGCCTGCTCGCAGTGAGGACGCTCGCGGGCTGGGACAACATTGCCAACGTGCTCGGCACGGTGTATCCCTCCACCGTGGTGGTCCCACTGATAGTGCTCTACATGAACCACGGCCGAAATGGTATGTGCGAGTGTGTGTGTGTGTGGTGTGTGTGTGTGTGTGTGTGGTGTGTGTGTGTGTGTGCGTGGTCGATTGATTGTTTTATTGTTTGTTTGTTTATTTGTTTGTTTGTTTGTTTGTTTGTTTGTTTGTTTGCTTTCGTTCTGTCTTTCTTTCTTTATTTATTTGTTTTTCTTTCTTTCTTTTCGTATTTGTTTGTTTGCTCTGTGTTGATTTAGGAGAGAGCCCGTTTTTTGCTTAGTTTCAATGAACACCGAAAGGAAAATCGCCAGTTTGAACCCCCCCCCCCCCGCTATATTGACACATGCCCAAATGTAAATGTGCCCCAAAGGTATGGAGGGTTCTCGGAAGTATTCTGTAACGGAGCCTGTGGTTGGAAAAGAGTTGGGTTTGACCGTCTATTTTCTGAGGTCCTGGACTTGAAGACCATTTTGTGGTAAACCAATCGACAAAAGAAGTGAGTTCCGGCTACTTTTTGTGAAAAGGGAATCCCCGTGATCAAGCGGTTATGGGAATGACCCATATCGGTATCACAGAAAGGGTCATTTTCTACATCCACCGAAATGCCCCGAACCCTGGTTTTCGGCCGTACCCGGTGAAAGTTGTGAAGGATGCTTCCTACCCTCCCCCTTTTCAAAGACGACAATGACCCCATCCAAACCTACAAGAAGCAACTGCGGTCTTGGTGTTCGGCTCCCCAAGGATGCTATCCCCCTTGCAACGCCAATCACCCGAAAAGCACCATGAGGGTTGCGACGTGTTACCCCTCCTTTCAAGAACCAAAATAGCGCAAAAAAGAAGACACCAAGACCCAGTTACAATAACTATATACACATATATATATATATATATATATATTTGGCGGGGGTCCCTTTTGTATCTCCTTATCAAGGCGGCGGTCGGTACCTAGATGTTCCCACGCCTTTGGGTTTATCAATGCCATGTTCATTTGAGCCACATTGAAAACCCGGGTAGATGAAGGTTAGAGGTTGTCATAGTCGAACACAATAGGTACGGATTTTGCTTTCTTTCAGTTCTTTAGCATGGGTTTTGGGTAGAGAATTGGTTTATGTTCATGGGTTTTGGATAAAAGTTGGTTTATGATCATGTTTTTGCTTGCAACTCAAGTGGTTTGGTAAGTGGACACTTTTGTGCAAAATTCTGGGGCTTTCCCACCTCAAGTTGCGGACGGGGTTCTGTTTTGGGATGTAGGACCTTGCCAAGTGTTTGATGTCAGGCACTGTTTCGGGTCTTTTTCGGGCGCGTGGATGTTACCAGCTCCCAGGTTGTATGTTTTCTTAGCTGTACTTTGCGGGATTCTGATTCTAGATCAGGTATGTGTAGGACCTCGGATTGCAAGGACGACAACCCAAAGCAACCCCTACCCCTCCAGCCCGTCTCCTCTTTAGCCAAGTTTGATCCAAGGATGGCTGCCCCCAAATCTGTGGTGGATATGCTCATTTGACGTTTGTACGACCTTAGACGTCACCAACCCGTCCCCTCAGCGCAGTTGTTCATTGACCCCTTTTTCCCGTTTGTTTTGCTGCCCGCTAAAAGCTGTCAAGCACAAAACGTACCCTGAACTCCATCTCATCCTTACAGCCTATAGCTAGGATATGTACGACCTTGCTTGGTGAGATTCCAAACTTTGGGGTGTTTGTTTTGGCAGAGCGTGTTTTGGATGTACTTGTTCAGTATTCAGGTGGAACTCGCCTCTGTTCTTGGCCGTCTGTGCGTTTGTCTTTTGCATGTTGTTTGCCTTGGACGCTGCGGTGTATGGTTGCTTCGAATGTGTGTCTAGATAAGGGGTGTGTCTGAAACTAAACTCCTCCCTCCTTGGTTGTCGCAGGAAACAGAGATGGGCGCCATGTTCAGGTGTCCCACTTCTAGACGAAGTCGCGAGAAATCCTGGTGGGGCGCAGGATCGAATGATTTTGCATAGGCCATTCCAACAAAATGCGTAGGCGGGTCAGGGTAGG